GATACAAGTTTGGTTGTCACTTACCTGTGAAGCGAGCTGTGCAGTCCCACGTGATAGAGGAAGAAAGCGGCCATAGCCGCGGAGTATCATCACGGAGTAGCGGAGGAGGGAGAGAGAGAGGACAAAGAAGGGGAGACCGAGAAGAGTAAGGGAAGCCATAGCCGAAGGGAAGAAGAAGAAGAGGTGAACAAAAAAAAAAAAAAGAGAAAGAAGAAGACAGCGGGGTGAAAAGGAGGCGAGGAAGGTGAAGAGGAAGAAGAGGATTGGCGAGGAAGAAGAGCCGGCGGCCATAGCTGACCGAAGGGTTGACCAAGAGGGTTGATCGGAGGTGTTGACCGGCGGTTACCGGAGTTGACCGGGGGCCATAGCAGCGTTGACCGGCGTTGACCAAGGTCGTTGACCAAGACTTTGACCAAGCTGGAGTTGGTAACATCTCGCCAAGCCCTCGGCCTATCCCTTGCCCTATGGATGTGCACATACCCCTTGGTACTTGCTGAGTACAGTCTGTCTGTCTATTCTTTCTACATCGAGTCTCTTATGTCCTAGGTGATAGTACTCTGTGGATGAAGGATAGGGCCTGGATGACGAAACCCCTACCTGACTTAGTAGAGCTGATACCGTGTCTAATCTCATTGTCCCGGAGGCCTAACCCTCCCAAGGACCGGTGCTGACCGGCGGGGCTCGGATTGGGCGTGACACGGTGGGCTTGAATGGCGGAGTTGTGGGCTGACACACCAGGCAGTCTTAAGTGTTGAGGGCCTTGTGGACCCAAACCCCTACCGGACCTAGTAAGGCTAAAGGCCGTGTCTGACGACTCGATTGTCCCGGAGGTCAAACCCTCCCAAGGACCGGTACTGATCGGTGGGCTGCTCGGTGTGGCATGGTTGGCCCGAAAGGCTGAGTTGTGGGCTGATGCAACAGGCCAGACCAAGCTGATCACGTCGTCCTGTCTGCGACGTTAAAGAATGCTTGAGGAGTTACGAGGGATCTCCTTAAATGCCTCCTGATCAGCCACAGGTCTAGTAGTGACAGCCATAGTGTAGGTCTAGGCTAGAGACCATAGTTGGCAGGATCCCTATCAGGATTTTGCGAGTCTTAGATTGAGTCTATAGGTTTGTCAGTCAGGGGGTTAGAGTCTACGTGGTGAGGGTATGGAACCGTTGATTCGGTTGTGCACTGACACCATGGTTGACACCCGGAGTGGGTTGAGCACTAGCCCCTATACCAAGGAGCAGCAAGAAAAGATGGCCGCCTTAGTTAAGGAGAATAGGGAGAGAAAGGAGCGCGAGAAGCAAGCAAAGTTAAAGGCAATTGCAGACGAACAGGCGGCGAAGATGAAGGAAGTGGAGGAGGAAATAGAGAAGAAGAAGAAGGCTGCTGAGGAAGAAGCGGCAGCAGAGGAAGAAAAGGAGAGACTGCGTATTGAGAGTGGAGAAGGGAGTAGTGGCACAAAAGATGATGCAGACGCAGCCCTGGAGAAAAAGATCAGTGAGTGGGTTGCTAACTTATCGTTGGGAGAAGACGAAGAGACAGAGTCCTATGTGACTGATGATGAGCAGGCTGCATTAGCTGCTGAGCTAGCAGCGATGCAGGACCCTATGGAAAAACGAGAAAGGGAGGAGGAGCAAAAGTTGGCATGGAAGTTACGAATGAAGAGGGAAAAGAAGAGGAGGAGAGAGGAAGTGAGCAAAATGACCGTAGCAGTGGCAAAAGCGCAGGACTGTAGGAGAGAAGTGGAGGCCCAACCAGATGACAAGGCCAAGTGGGACAAGGTGTTGGGTTACCTGGAAGTGTTGAGCAAGGCCTGGATGGAGGAGCGTCAGGCCAGTTGGAGCCAGGATGTAGCCTTGAGTGCCATGCGGTCCGACTTCAAAGATTTTGCACGCGAAATCGTCGCCCACATTGGGGGCGAAGTCAAACAGTTGAGGGACAACGTTGGGAAGTTTTGTGAGGGCGCCATTGAGGGTGCCAAAGCGATAGCCGCTGTAGAGGGCGAGGCCAGACCCCGTAAGGACCCGGTTAAACTTAAGTTCCAGACGCATACGGGGGAAAGAAGGAGGAGAACTTCGACAACTGAGAGGCCAGTGTCAATAGTTATATTTATCTACAACATATCTTAACAGATGAGCAAGTCCTCGTGGCCTTCCAGGCCCTGAAGGATGAGGCGGCTATTGCAAGGTCCCTTGCGCGCACGGCCGGTTGTGAAAACAACCTGGTGGCTTATTCAAAAGTCACCCCCCTTCCTCAATTCCTCAAGCTCCTAAAGGAGCGATTCGTCGATCCAACGAGAGGCGTCAGGGCCTCCGATAAGTTATAAACGATCCACTCAGGACATTGGAAGAGTGCGCGAGCACTCAAGGGCGTTTTGGACGACCTGGTGGCCGTCCCGACCACGGGGTCGCTGAGACCCAATTGGTCCAGTTATTCTATCGTGCCATGCCCGAGCCCCTGAGGGGGCACTTTTTTGACAAATCTCAACAGGCCGACATTACTTATGATGCATTGAGTAGAGAAGTGGTCCTGTATGAGTCAAAGTCTATGG